AGTGAGGCGAATGTATAGGCACGACTCATCATAAGCCGTTGATAGGGTATGGGCGTGGGGCGCTCAAATCAGGTATAGCCACGTAGCTAAGGTTAATGCCGCGCGAGGAGACCAAGATTTGTGCGCCCCCCCCCCCCCCACACGAATTAGCCACGAAAAAAACTCCTTCGCAGTTTGCCAAAACTATATAAAAGTAGAGCCCCCCTTTCACGCCCCCCTCTCCTACGCCAGTGGGCCGAAACCCTTTAGAAGTGTTGTTTTTTTTAATCTTGAAGAATAACTAATGAATAACAATATCTAGGTTTTTAGAAATACATGCACACCTTTCCATCGATAGCCGTCCCTATTTCCGGACCTTAACGAAGAAATGTGTCTTTTACCCAGCTACCGACGCCAAATGTTCTCCTTTTCTTTGTGTTTACTGAGCTGTCAAATTCTGCCCTCGTGAAGTTGGCCTTTAAACTATAACGAGAGCGAACATTTTCATCTGCGACATAGCAATAAACGTGACACCACCTCTAAAGCCGCAACTGAAACTGCAGCGTGCAGGACCCCTGACAAGAAGAGGCTCTGGTTCAGCAGCACCCCTGACAAGAAGAGGCTCTGGTTCAGCAGCACCCCTGACAAGAAGAGGCTCTGGTTCAGCAGCACCCCTGACAAGAAGAGGCTCTGGTTCAGCAGCACCCCTGACAAGAAGAGGCTCTGGTTCATAGCAGCACCCCTGACAATAAGAGGCTCTGGTTCAGCAGCACCCCTGACAAGAAGAGGCGCGGGTTCAGCAGCACCCCTGACAAGAAGAGGCTCTGGTTCAGCAGCACCCCTGACAAGAAGAGGCTCTGGTTTCACCCACCCCGCCGACAAGGCCCGTACCAACGGAAGCGCGATAACAATTTTCGTGCTTTCCCGGTCACACATACGGCCGCCAGATTTCGGCAAGCGACTTTTTTTAGGGCCACCACGACCGGGTTGACTCATACCATTCACCGTGCGAACATCGCCAGTCACGCCCACGTCCCGTGGATTGGAGGTGGCTTTAGAATCCACCAAGTACTTTCTTTCAAACGGCGCATTTTACCTTAATTTAAAAAAAAAAAAAAAAGTTGAAGTGATCTGACACAAAACTGTGATACTATTTTAGTTCAGATCGGCTAAATTAAGCACACGTTAACGTGGGTGATTTAATATTAATAGAGTACATCACATAATATTGCCGAGTGGTCCTTAAATGGCTGTTATGTGGGGGGGGGGGGAAGAGAGATGGCGGTAATGTGCTAACAGCCAGCTTTGTTTCCAGGACTTCGGCCGTGGCATTTTAAGGTTTAAAGGTTAAATACCTCCAACAAAGCCTTCCCTTTTTTTGGTGAAACAATTTTTTTTTTCTTTTTTTAACTTAAAGCCGAGTGGGCGCGAAGTTGAACAATTTCACGCTCCTATCTGATATTCAAATGTGGCTCAGTGTCAATCCGAGATTGTTGCCTTATGAACGCAATTTCCAAAGCAATTTTATTTCATATACATATATTAATATATGAAGTAGTGTACGGATACGTTCAATGTATTAAGCCAGTGCATCACCAAAGTGGGGTCGTTCGCATTTCCTACATGTATTATTACACGAAGTAGTAGGCCTATATGGCTCCGCAAGAAGCTCAGCTCAGAATTCGGGCCTGTGTCTAAAACACGGGACACGCAAGAGCTTCACAACAAGTGGACATATATTTTTTGTTTAAATAGTCACAATCAATCGTCACAGTTATAAACCTAGTTTGTTTCGCTGGCATCGTTTAAGAGTTGTTCTAACTTCCTGGTCCGCGAGACAACTTATGTTATATCAAGGAGTGTCTATAAGAAGTCATCATAAACGGTAATTTCCAGCGTGACGTGTACACATGACGTGAGAAAACCGTACGTCTTCTTTTTTAATTCGCATAATTTTCCACTCAAACAAATGAAACGAGTTCACTTTCAATCATGATTACAATTATTGGGGGTAGCCTTATTTTGATAATAATGAATTCACCAATATTCTATTAAACAGTGATCAACCCATCAGTCCCCTTTTACATGTAAGCATAAGGTGTGTTTACGGTCCCCGGACGTCGGCACTTCTAATGCTGTGCGGTTTTTGTAATCCACCGTGAACGAAGTCGGCACAGGCGTAACAAACTAAATGATATGACAAAAAGGTAAACTAGGAGCATACCAAGAAAAAATCTCACATTTCCCATCACATATTGGTCGTGGTCTACGGGGAACTATTTATTACACAAAGATGTCATTTTTTAATTTTTTGGGGGGTATTTTATTTGTGATCACACGCTTGTGCAGCTTTGGGGGCGATATATCAATGACGCAATGCGCTTGGGAGGAGGGAGTTTGTGAGGATGTACCATGAAGGCGTCTTAACTGTCTGAAAATTGGTAGACGGTACGAAATAGCATCATATCATTTATGGACGCCAGCATTAGCCATATACTTAAGCAAAACGGACACGCACAAAAGAAGCGTCCAAGCGTTCTGCCCCGAGAGGGCAGCATCGCTTTGAATACGATGGACAGCACGATTTTTCAGAGTAAGACTCGCGACGCATCTCTGACAGGCAGTTAAACTTCATTTCTTGTTTCGGTGTGCAACAACGGTGTGGGTTAATCATCGTGGATGAAACAGCCAGCAGACGTTATGCACGAGATGGGGTTCAAGGCCACTGGATTGACACCCACGGAGTAGGACGTCGCGCACCATATGAATATTTGACGACTGTCTGAACAATATCTGGAGGAATCAATGTTCAACATAATCGCTAAATTCAAACGAATAACGGATCCGAGAAACAACAACACGACAGCCGCGCTTTTAAGATTCAGTCTAGCGTGACACAAATAGGAGGGGAAAGGGGTGTGGGGTGGGGTAGCTAATCCAAGACGGGTCCTGAACGTGTGTGACGTAAATAGCTACACCAGTTGAAAGTCCAAGGCTGGTCTCTTATTCAGTAGTCGCCGCCGACCTAACTGCCAAGAAACTAAAGTACGGAACTAATCGCTCTCTGTTGTACACCGGTTGGAATAATGTCATACAACGGCCAAGGCCAAATGGCAGAAAAATATTTCAAGTGAAACCCACCAGCCTGCTAGCAGGCCTGAAATTCCTACAGCAATGCATAAGGATATGGTGAAGCAATGAATAGTTGATACTGTCAACAACTTATACTCCTGTTAAGAACATTGTGTACAATTACAATGACACTGAAATAATTCTTTGAAATGCTTAAAAAAATGACTTCTTTTTAAAGAAAAATTTTAACTTCATAATTTTCCATTCACACATTTCCAAAAAAACCAACCAAAAAAAAAAAAAACCCCAAAAAAACATTACCATGTAAGAAATACTCAGCATAGCTACATATTCTATCTTGAAACATGAGAATAACTATGGAATCGGAACAGACAGTGTGTGTTTAATAAAACAAAACCAGATTATGGAAAAATGGGTAAATTTAAAAACAAAAAAGGGTGGGGTGGTGGGGGAGAGGAGGATGAAGTGTTAACCACATGGGATCTCTTCAAAGGAGAAGGTAAAGAAATATAAATACATACAGTTAAAAAATAAAAATAAGCTGTTGATGGTCAGGGATCAGACTTGATATTAATACTGATGAAGGTATGACCGTATGGCGGAGATAAATGAAACTTTGTCTTTTAAGCTGCATCCACTTCTTCCCATAGGTGTATTTTGAAATCTGGCTTTTTTCCTATGTATTGTATGGTGTGGTACCACAAAGGAAAATCTGGTCCCAATAAAATATAACTGTTTTTGACTGTGATCACCACATAACCACCGGTAACTTCTAATTTGCAGTAACATTATTAAAAATAATGAGAGCACTACAAATAAAAGTATACTTTTCAATGGATATAAAAACATTAAAGTTGCTGTTGAGCCATTAAATAACCAAAACGGTTTAACAAGAAAGCTTGGACTTGGTCTACGATTATATGGACCTTTCCGAAATCAAATTAATTATGTGAATAATAGCACATGACTTCATGGAATTAAATGGTTTTAATGAAAAAAAAAAGCATATGCCTATAATAGCATAAATATGACATACAATTATAAAAAATTTAATTAAGTTAATAGCTTTCCTCTAAATCTAAACTTATATTTGTGTTACTTGTTGTTGGTTCACTGGAAGAAGATTTCTTGCTGACAGATTTGACAAATCATTTGTTGTTTTGTTGCATCCTTTTTACAAGTCTAAGGCTAAGGTTTTCCCATTCCTTGTTTCACGTATTTCCTTTATATTAATTTACACTATAGTCTAGACACTTCAGACACTACAAGTAGACTACACTTCAGTGATACTCATACATAATAGCTCAGGAAAGTAGGCCTATATAGTATATAAACCTATAAATAATATTATGATAGACCTAGGGCCTAATGATTTATTATAATATATAGTAAATAATAGCCTACAGGAAATTACCTTACTACCTCACTTTGCAAATCATATTATTCATTAATTCATTTATTTAATTTAAGGGCAAGGGTTGAGTTGTTTTTATTATAATTAAAATTCAATCAAACTTATTTTTACTGGTTTAAATGTATCGCCGTGATTTCATTATTGACAATGAATATGAATGAATGTGTTTCACAGTCACAGTTCGGAGACTGAAGAGTTCATCCTGAGCATCTGAACACTGACCCTTCAAAAGACTATCAACAACTAAAACACACAATCGATCCCCATAAAACAGACATTTTTTTTTAAAGTTGTGACTGTAGTATTAATTCCATTATAAATTCAATGTAACTCTGAAAAAATAAAAACAACTTACCGAATATTTTAAAGTGGCTTGAGCCACCAGGTTGTGCGGAGTTCTTTAATATCCGCTGTGACTGTCGGCTGTGGTACTGGATGCTAAACATACAAACATAAAAGGTAGGCGCTCTTTATGTTGACACCGCCAGGTAACCGGATGTGACAAAGCCAACTTCCTGGATGCAACAAGATGGCGGCAAACGCGAAATATAGACAAGTCTGAACTTATACAACTTGGTCATAAATTTCGTTCCTTAAGAAATGGAAAATTGTAAGCCCTTTGCACATTAATTTTATAAAAAATTATATTTAAATTTCTTAGAATGCAAGAAAATATTTTAAAGAAATTTAACTGATAAAGTTACTTGATATTAATTAGTAAAATAAAAATTAGCATCAATTTTTTCCTTGTCTTAAGTCTAAGTTCTTAATCTTATCTAATCTGAGCTTTACTTTTTTTATGATGTACAAGATTAGTTTATAGTAATTTATAAGCACTAACAATTAATGTGCACTCTCAATATCCTTATACATAGTCATTTATTTTTAATACATTTAATTTGCAATTTGCAAATTTTGTCAAAGAAATAGGGATAATAAAGATGATAATTTATATGATAGGGATAGTACTGATAGCAACAATTGATAGTCAAAGTCCTTCTCCCGCTAGGCCTAACTAATACTAATAATAAGCATAAATAAAAATTTCACCGCTCCTACTTACTGCTATGTGCATCTATCCATCGGGCATCAGGATCAGCCTAAGCTGAAAGAAGTAATTTTTGTAAAGTTGAAATATGAAGAAAAACTCAGAGACAATTATTAGTAAATTTAATTAGTAGAGCCTAGGCGTAAGTGAGTAGAAGTTATTATTTCTACAGTCAATAGGGCCTAACTCTACCTAATGATTACAAAATTATCTTTTTGCAAAGCCCAGGCTAGCTACTGCTAATATTATAATTATATCAATTATATTATCATACATATAGAATATAGCTATAATAGTAATAGGACTTGTAATTTTGACTTAATATTGTCTTAATATTTAAAAACAGTGTGGCAGAGCCCTTTTGTGAATGTATTTAAGCACTATAATTTGACAGCATGGAAGAGAGCTTCAAAAGAAGGAGATGTTATTTCGTTAATGGTAAGTTTTTATTTTAAATTATTTTACGCTTTTGCTTATATTATAATTTTAATTGATTTATTAAAAATTTGGTCTTTTTTTGTAGGTAAGTCTATCAAATGTGATATGTTTTCTTTAACACTTCATTTAGTTAAATTGTAATACAATCATGTCAACAGATTTTCTTTAGATAGCATTGATAAAATCAGAATACATTTTTTTACAGGACAAGACAGTGAAAGGTACTGTTTTTCGCATTGAAGGCAGCATCCATGCAGCCAACTATATTCAGCTCCCCAAGACGAACTCTCAAACACTTGCTTTAACAGGCCGCTACTTCTATCTGCTATTCAAACCTATTCCATCAAAGCATTTTGTTGTTCATCTGGATGTAGCTACTTCTGATAATCTTGTGATCCGTATTTCTTTTTCAAATTTATTTAAATCCTTCAAGTCAACATCAACATGGTTGAAATTTCCTTTTGTCTGCTGTCCCTTTGGAGGTTCACTGCCAGCATATGCAGTGGATGCAAAAAGAGGTGAAAATACTTCTAGACCTGCTCATTTCTTTTAGAAAATGAACATATTTTAAAATAATTAATGTAAAAAGATTTTTTATTGAAAATTTCAACATGTTATTATTCAATAAATATATTTTATTTTTTTCATGTAAAAGACTTTATTTGTATTTTTATCTTATAGCTAATTCTTCAATAAAGTTAATAAATTATGCATGTATGTCTTTTACTATTATTTTAAGCTGTTTTCTTATAAAACCTTGTTGGAAGATGAGAGAATTTAAATAAAATGTTTCTTATTTTAAGGCCATCTTCATTTCTATGAGCAATGATAAAAATGACATTTATGTGAATTTAATCATATTTATGAAATTGTATAAATTATGCTTTGATATAATTTTTTTTTCTCTAGACCAAAGTGGACCAGCCCCAATGATTACAAAATGGACTGTTCTATGTTTAGATTTACAACAGATTTTAAGCAGCTACTTGAATAGAAAATTTCTCTATATTAAGTCTTTCAAGCTTTGTGCAAATATGTTAGTGAAGAATGTGTTCACTAGTGATCAGCTGTATGACCCTGGTAAGCATTATTGCATGCAAGATTGCACATTTTAAATGTTTGTCATTAACACATTAACTGCTAACTAGGGTATTGTGTGTGACCAGATGTCAGCCACGGTGCCACCCAATGTAAAGCTACTAAAGTAATTTTTTTCTTCTTTTTTTTTACTGTTTAAACAAAATTAAATTTGGTATTTAACTGGGAAAGGTTTCCGAATTCAAAAATAGCATTGCAGATCATGGGAATATTTTTTTTACATGGAAGAAAATTAAATTCAAGAATATCTATTTATTTCTTTGACTCGCAGAGAAACAAAGAAATGTTGATAAACTCACTATATTGCCAAAATGAGCATTCTCTTTCAGTCACATTTTGATTGTAAAGTTTTATTCATAATGTACTATGTTTATTTAAAAACATAAACATGCCCAGAGGAGGTCAATCCCATAATTGTGTTAAAAATAAGCATGTGACAATAAGTAATGGCAAACAAAGCTAAAATTCATTTCAGTTTCAATAATGACAACTAGATTTTTAGTTTGAGTTCTTAAAATAATTTTCTATTTATTGAGCGAGGAGAAAACAAAAACATATCAGTGAAAGTTGAAAATGAGAGTGATAAAAATAGCATAGTTATTCAATTAATAGCAGTGACGAGAACTTTGCTTTTTGTATTTTGAGTATCGTATTTGACTTAGGTATAAATTTCACAGAGAACTTAAATAAAATATTCAACACGTTTTTTTGTTTATTTTTCTTTTATTATGTGTAAAAAGGTCATATCTTTCATTTACGATGAAATCAATTGAAATTCCTTGTAGATTTGACAATGGAAGAGGCTAAGAGGCATGGTCTTATGGCCCTTAACATTTGTCCTTTGCCAAGAGATATGTCTTACCCTGTTGGGAAAGGGGAAAACTGGCATGACCTTTATGACTTTATAAGGTATGTAAACTGTGTTTTCAGCAAAATATTAAAATTTTACAACCTAAATGAAGCATTTTGCTTACATCCATTTTGAGACCTATTAATAAATGTGCTGCCAAGTACAATACACAATGGTTTCACATTATTTATATTAATTTACTGTGAATACACAGAAGGATATGTGGTTTATTAAATAATAAAATAAAATAATAATATTATAAGGGAGATGACTTACAGAGAGTGTCATACGGCAAACCATCAGATAGTGTGGAGTTCATGCTGTAGTTTGATGTTCTTGGCAGATTAGTGAAAAATGTAAATACTTTAGTTAAAAGTTTCAGCAAGGAGAACTAAATCTTAAGAACAAAAAAAAAATTTGGTTTTAAGTTACACTCTACTTTTTGTGTTTAATTTCAGATTTCCATCTGACAGCACTCATCAGCCATTTGATACCATACAAGCTAATAAATCAAAATCAAAGCTAACCAAATTTGGTAACCTATTTTATTTATTATTTTTACTGATTCATTTTTATCTCTTGTTGGGTGTTTAGTTTATTGGCTTTATACATATATAGTCTTAAAGAACAACAAAGTGTCAGTGAAATAAGTTGCCATGATGTCTATGGTTCGTGTAGTTCCAAATAAGACAAATTAAATGTATAGAACATAGTTGTCCATATTTCATATATCTGCACTTTGACACTACTGTTAAAGGATTTTTTTTTTTTAATGTTATACAAATATCTGTTACTTTTAGCATCAAATATGCACAGTGCCATCCATGACCCATTAAGAATTCAGACAAGAACGGTTGATGTGAGCAAATGTGTCTCTGATAGAGTGTCCATGATCCATAAGCTCACAGCTCCCAAAGAGGTATGGGGCCCCGTTTTTGTTTAATTTAACAACAAAAATTTTGTAAAATAAACTGCTTATTTTTTAAAAAACAAATATTTCGAACTATTACCTTTTATTTTATCATTTGAAATATTAAAAATTGGACATGATATTGGGAGTGCTAAAATGTTTGTTTTAATTGTTAACATTGTAGGATTCTCTGAACCATTTAGATAAAAATCAAAGGAAATTGATGTTTAAGTTTTATTGTTATTGGTGTCTTTTTTTTTTTCTTTTTGCAATGAAAATTAAAGAAACCTGACATGAGGAAAGTAACAAAAGAAATACCTGAGATCCCAACAAACATTAATGAGAACTTTGTTGATGAAATTCATGTTTATGCACATCCAGATGGTTACAGAAACCACAAAAAAGTAAGACATGTCATTCAGAATCTTGAATTATTGATGATTATGTTTAATCTTTTATAATAGTTCAAAACATAAAAACACCAATATAATTTTAGTTGATAGGGGTGTATACATGTGTATTTTTCAGGGTGTGGTGATTATCAGCAATTATATTTTTTTTGGATGATTAATTGGTAATCTGCCTGTTAAGCGCATCCTTGCCAGCCTTGCATGCGTAAATACAACAATCCTGCTTGAATTGGAAAATAATTAATTTTGTTAAATTTTTAATCTGGCTAGATTTCAATTAAAAAATAAACATATTTATTAGATAGTGACATGTATTTAAATATAAGTATATATACCAATATATATGAATTCTGCTAAACTGGGATAAATTGTTTAATCTAAATAAAATAATACCCTATATATTGCAAAGAATCTTTACATTCAATTGTCTGTCTTTTAATTTATTTTATTTGCAAATATTTTTTTCTCTAAATAAAAAAATATATTACATTTAAGTTTTTAATTGTGATATTTGAGTAATGCAAGTACTTTCTAAGGTGCCTCATAAAGTCTTTTAAATTTACCTTATAGTATTCAATATTAAAAAAACCCAATTCTTTCCTATTTTCCCTGTACAATCTAGGAAAAAAAAATGAAACAGATTTTTCCTCCACCTGACTCTATGCCAACATATAAAGTAAGTTTGATGTTGTGAAGATTTCTTGGTGAAGAAAATGTGCGGTTAAATCTCCTTTTATTATCATTATGATATACTCATTTAAACTTGATGTCGGTCACAACTATTTCTGACCGTGTTTTTAAATGGAGGCAAGTATCACCATTTTTGTGTTAGATTTTGTAAAGAAGGTAGCACCTCAAATGTTAAAAACTTTATGTGTCAGTACAAATATTTTAAAAAATTGGCTCACCTGTTCTATCTCTTAAAGAGCATTGTGTGTCTTTATCCTTAAATTACAATCAAGACATTAAAATGTTCCACTGTAACAAAATTTCATGACTTCAATGGTCAATGCTGAGAGAGGGCTAAGCAAAGATGGAGATTGTCAAAACGAACAATTTATGAAGACTACTGCCGATGGAAATGAAAGAAATGGAAAATTTAATTAGCCAGCAATTTAAGGAATGAAATATGTTTTAAAATTGTTTAATAAATTAAAATAATTCAAGAAGTTGATGGGAGAGAAAATATATTTTTTTGGTTTTGGTAGTGAGGTTTCCCAATGCTTATCTTCTAGGCACTAGAACCTAATCCCATCATGAAGTTGAAAAGAATCATTGGATTTGGAGGAGCTACTTTCCAAGATGTAAGTAATTGCTTATATATATATCACAAGAGTTCTGTTCCCTGTGCATAGTTCAGCGCAGTAAAAAAATTCTAATGAAAACAGTAGCTGCACGTAAGAATAATTTTGTTTTTTTATAGTTAAGTTGAAAAAATACTACCATGTGACCTAAGGAACATATTTTAAATTTTCAAAAAGTTTCAGTGACCAAGATGATTGTATATCCCTTAGCATTATTAAATCTGCCTCTTTAACTAATTGTTTATACAATGGATCTTAAATACAATCTCCAACTTATATTGTAATTAATGGCAAATACTTTTTTTACTAAGTGATCATTTTGAGATTAAATATTGGAGAAAAAAATTAATTTATTAAGAAGATTTGCTTTATAAAAACATTTAATAATACCAGGACCAGTGAGAAACTCTACATTAACTTATCAATAAAAATGGAAAAATCTTTCTTACATGTGAAGATGATAAATGAAGGACTGGGTTCACGCTGTGTGAAGGAAACAGTAGAATGAGGTATGTGGGAGACTTAAACAGAAAGACAGGACAATAAAAGAATGTCTCAGCTAAGAGCCTTCCTCACCAAAACATTCTCCTTTTACGGTCCTGTCTTTCTAGTTCAAGCTTCCACATACCTTGTTCTGCTATTCACTTGTGTGGAACATTTCTCTCAACGTTATAATAATATTTATTTGAATTTATTTTTAGAACAATGAGCTTATCCTGGTCATCAAGTTTTATTTAATCTTATTATAAGCATATTAATTAATTAAATTATTTGTTTTTCAACTCAAGTAGAAAAAATTCACCAATGCGACATTTTTGCTTAAAATATTTTTCTTAAACCATTGTTGTTTTAGAAATTCATTTTTTTTTTAAATGCTAAAGCAGAGATCTCTTGTTGTAATCATCCCTAACAGACTCTCTGGTCTTTTGATGGATCATCAGTAGTTTATCCTTGTCATGCTGTGCTTGTCAGCATGAAAATAGCAACTGGGCAGCAGCGATTCTTCATTGGTCATACAGACAAGGTAATGATGCTGTCAGTTTGGATAAGGTAGTAGCCCCATCAGTATATGCTAATTTGTAATGCTATTAATACAGAACAGGTAATGCTGTCAGTACAGACAAGTTAATAATCTCAATACAGACAAGATAGTAATGATTTCAAAAGACAATGTGGCTAATTATTATCTAATATTACTCATTTGTTTTAGAGACATTTTTGTTTCTGTAATTAAAATTAAAAACTCATATTTCCCCAAACTTTTCAGCTCTTATAAAACACCCCCCCCCCCACTCCAAAAACTTTTTTTTAAAAAGTACTATGAAATGAACTTGTGTATGAGCACCACTGCTTTAATATACTTTCACCTTATATTATGTAGGAAAGGCGGCTTTGTTGTATAAACTCATTAGGTTGCTTGAGAATATTATAAATCAATATGTGCTCCCTCCCTTTAGTGTCAGTGTTATGTAGTCAATTTGTCAGTAGAGTTCTGATTTCTTTTTTTTTTTTTTAGGTGTCTTGCCTGGCTTTCACAGCAAACTCAAGCTTACTGGCCAGCGGTCAGACTGGCTCAATGAGTGTCGTGAGGGTCTGGAAGTATCCATCAGGTGAATGTCTCAGTATATCCAAGGCTCATGACCACTCACTGTCCTGTCTCAGGTAAAAATATTCTTCCTTTAACACTGAATAGATTTTTGAATACAATAATGACAGATTTAATGAATCATGTTGTAAATGAAAATCATGTGAGTTGAAATTCTCACCATGAGTTCTCAAGTGAGTTGAAACTAGTTGCCCACTGGGAAGCTTTTGTTTAAGAGTGTTGATTTCCCTACAGCTTCTCTGCCAAGGGAGGAGTGCTTTGTGGACTTGGTAAAGACTCACATGGCAAAAATGTAAGTTCCTCCATTTTTTTTTTACAGTTGTGTTATTGGTATGAAGTAAATGCAGACGTGTGAGAATGGTGTTCTGTGTAAGCTCAATCAAAGAGGTTTAAACGTCTAAATCAGAGATTGGGAAAATCCTTTAGCTTGTGTCAAAATTTTTGTTGTTGTTAAGAGCCAGAAGTTATGGTTGAATTGGTTGTGTTCTGGATGTTTTTTTGTTTATATATACATATATGACCCAAGGTCAATTTAATGATAATTTTGGCTCCTGGTTTGAATTCAGAGTTAGCCTTCTCTTAAATGAGTTGACATCCAAGGCTAACTTGTCCAATCCACCCGGGGTGCTTGACTGGGCTTTGCTGGAATTGAACTCCAGACCACCAACTTTAGATTTACTCAGTTTAGACCACTTGGCCACCCAGCACCCAAAGCAGTCAATTAGAAAGGGTAAAAGAATAGTGGATTAGAATAGGTGTAATAACTGGATTATAATGTGTCGAGTAACACTGGATTAGAATTGGTACGTCAATGGTGTATTGTGCAGTAAGATGACTGCAGGACTTGTTTTGTAAAATAAGCTGTGAAGAAATGGTTATTTTTTTTTTTTTAACATAACAGAGCCTGTGATGATGATCGGACAACAAATTGTGGCTCCATGATCGCCTTTCTTCTTTATGCCTATCTATAATGAAAGATCTTTTAAGGTAGCTTATTTTTATCTGCTTCTCGCTATCAGCTTGTTGTGGTCTGGAACACATCCAGAGTGCCAAAAACAAGGGAGATGACCATCTTGGCCAAAGGTCACACTGATGTTGACATCACACGCATCATCATTGCTCCTTTTGATGATACCAGGTAGCGAGGATTATTTGGCAATCTTAATCTGAGAGCTCCAATTTTCTGTTGTTTTATTGAACGGTGCATGGGGGGGGGGGAATAAGTTGCTTCATTAATGTAAAAAAAATTCAAAGTGGGAAGAATATGAGACTTAGTGGTGAAAAAAAATAGACGTGCAACACTCGGCTTCAGTAAAGCTTTACAGAAAGTATCTGAGAGCTCCAATTTTCTGTTGTTTTATTGAACGGTGCATGGGGGGGGGGGGAATAAGTTGCTTCATTAATGTAAAAAAAATTCAAAGTGGGAAGAATATGAGACTTAGTGGTGAAAAAAAATAGACGTGCAACACTCGGCTTCAGTAAAGCTTTACAGAAAGATGCATATTATAACAAATTAATTTTTTTAAGAAATACAAGATATGACAAGAGTAGTTTTCATTAGTGGACAAGCAAAGAGCATTGATAAGAAGGAAACAGGAGAGAGACAATACAAAAGACATGAAAACATTTTTTTTTAATAAAATCATTCCTCTGAGGTTGTTTATGTTTGGACTTCTAGAAACATGAGATCAGAAACACTGGCAAAATTGTAACTATCTTTTTAAATGTATTTGCCTTGCTCTTTCTTTCCTTGCTAAGAATGGTGTCCTGCGGTAGGGATAATGTGAGAATGTGGAGGATCAAAGAAGGAGCTTTGAGGTCAGCCCCTGTTAACCTTGGAGAATATCATTCAATGGAATTCACGGATATCTGCTTTGAGTTTTGTTCTCACATGGATAGCCAGCCTGAGAACCATCTCGTGTAAGTTGTTCTAAAGGTTGTTTTTTTTAAATAAATATTTTGTAGCATAATATGTCCAAAATAATCTGAATTTATTATCTCTGAACAGAATTACTTTTTAGAATTACTAAAGTTTTCATGTATTTTTTGCAGATATGCATGCACCAAATCTGGCCATATATTTGAAATGGACTACAATAAGCTCACCATCCACCATGTTCGTAGATTACTGCCTCTTCAGTCTAAGCCAGGAAAGGGAACTAAAATTAAAAATGCAGCTGAATCAAGTAAAACTCATTATAAATTATAAAGCTTTTTTTAAAAGATTATAGTAATTAATTAAAATAATATTTACCCAATTATACAACAAATTCATGTTTATTCCCAAATATTCAATACGAAAGAGTTTAAATGAAATTTGGTTGATCTGTTCCCAAAACTTATTCAATACATTATAAAAAATAAATTCTGTTGACCACCATTTGCTTTTAATGGTCATCTCATTTGCTCTTTCGCTCTCATAAATATGATGTCAAAAACCAATTCAGTGGTCCCTCATCTAGAGCAGGGTATAGGAGAAAATCCCCGACAAAGTGACCTTAAATTTAATTTATTATTTATAAATTTTTTTAAAAGCTTTGTAAGCCCTCCTCACACTGTTATTAGCTTTACCCACACTCTTAAACCTACGTAACTTTAACAACAAATAAAATTCTTTGTAAATCCGAGATACAATAAGCCCAAAAAGTGAACCACAATATGGCAAGGGATGACTGTACAGCTAATTTTCAATTTCATTTAAATGAAAAAACTTTAAAAAAAAATTAAATTGAAATTGTCTCCCCAGATGCTGGTACAATGTCCATTAACGCCATGCACCTCAATGAAACTTTTTGCGTCACTGGCTCAGATGATGGTTATCTCAGGTTGTGGCCCCTGGACTTTGCTCACGTTTACCTGGAGGCTGGTAGGTATTCATGGTCCAAAAGTTTTGTGTGTTTTTATTCTCTTCTTTTGTTAAAGAAAACATCCAATTAAAATTCAACTCACTCCAATGGAATAACTCTCTAGTCCTTTTTTCTACTCTATCCTTATTCAGTACAATAATCCCAATTTTGACAAATAAGATCCTCACAATTTTTTTACTCAAACATAAAAATTTCATTGTTTATTATCTTTAATCTTAGTAAATGGGACATTCAGATTTTATAAGTTTGACATCAGTTTAAATCATTCACACAGATACTTATGTAGGCTCGGTCATAAATAAGGTGAAACAAATTTGTCATTTACTTTCTTAATTCAACCATTCTGTGACAATCTATTCCAGAACATGAAGGTCCTGTAACAGCCACTCGTTTATCTGCTGATGGTTTGAAAATAATTGCTGGCACATCAACAGTAAATTTTTTTTTTAATTTAAAAATAAAAATCAGTTTTCAATTTCTTGCATATCTTTTGGTAGCACACTGTTGATATCTATAAATAAACAATAGGGTAAAATTTGTTGGTATCAAGCTGTTCTCTGAATGGTTTTCTTTTTTTCTTCTTTTTTTTTCTGTTGTATTTAAATTTAAATAATAACCAAATCTTTTAAGCTTTGCTGTTTATTATTAAGTATTCTTTAATATGAGTTAGTGTTTGGGATTTTAGTCTTAAACATTTTATACAGGAAGTCATTTTTTAAAAGAATCAACCAATTGTTGGGGGTGGGGGGGTCTGGATTTAAATTCTGATACTAATTGTTGTGCAATGCAGGGTAACCTTGGTGTCCTGGATGTCTCAACACGACAGTACACAACTGTTATGCGATCTCACACAGGGCGTGTCCTCTCATTCGCTATTGACCCCATGAGAAAACACCTGGCCACTGTGTCAGAAGACAACACCATTCGTGTATGGGATGTGGAGACCTTACAACAGGTGTGTAGAAAAAAAAAAACAACTGTGACTTTTTTTTGGTGTATCAAATTATGCAATGAACAGTCCCTCTGTGATATATTGTGATTACACTAGTGATTGATTAGTTGCTGCATTGTTAATTAATCACTTTAAAATAGCTTGTTATTTTAACTTTCCAGTTAAGTGTTAATGACAGAGCATTCAATCTTTTAAGTAATGGGAAAGGTTTTTTTTTTTTTTTAATTATAAAACAAGTGAACAACTTTCTGTAAATTTAATGAAAAATGTTACGTTGTAAACCTGTAGTATTGTACTTTATTTTTCTACCTCAAGTACAAAGTACCATTGTCACCAGATCTATTTCCTTCATCAATTATGATAATCTTTACATTATCTCATTCTGATTTTGCAGCTGTATGACTTCAGTGCTCCTGAGGAATGCCCCTGCAGCATAGTCTACCACCCCAGCAAGCAAATATTTGCATGTGGATTTCACAGTGGAACAATCCGTATTTTTAATGTTGAATCCACTTCTTTGCTAGCTGAGCATAGGTTGGTGGCTTATAAAATTATTAATATTTCTGTTTATTTATTACTTAGAGAAAAATGTATATTTCTATTATTTTTTTTTGCATTTCATAAAGTACCTAATTTTTATCTGAATTAGCATGTATTGCAAGAGTATGTAAACAAGATTTATAATAAAATAATTGTATTTTCTAATGCACACTTTAATGTTAATCATAGTAAACCTAAACTGCATCAAAAGAGATGTACACTGCTAATTGTTTTGATAAAAGAATCATGGCAATATAAATTATATAGTCTTTGCACATAGAAAATAATCCAATCCAAAAAAACATAACAATAATGATTTTGATGAAAACTAAATGGATGTTGGTTTAAGCAAGCTATTAATTTTTGCAGACAACTGAGAGGAGGAGTGACAGGGCTGGCCTACTCTCCTGATGGATCTCGCCTCTATGGTTGCTGCTCACTTGGTGTGGCTATCATTTTTGATGCCACGACTCTTGAATACAAGGTAATCTGATGTTTATTTTTTGACTAGCTATATAGATGAGCATTTAGAAAACTAGAAAGGTATCGGGAAAATAGTTGAAATGTTGTGTAATTCTAATTTCTTTTAGGATTTTTAATTACTTGTTGCATTTAATCTCTTGTGGGAGAGGTGATTGGTTTTATTATAATTTGTCTTTTTGATATCTTTGTACCATAATTTATATAGATGGTGCTAATCCGTACGCAACTTCATCAGGCTAAAAATCTTTTGAAGCTCGGCTCATTCCAAATTTGAGGGATCCCAAAATAGATTATCTTATTTATATGTATTGTTGCTATCACATTTGAATTGCGAGATTTTTCTTCTAAGTAAATAATACATTTTTCAATAGCATTTTACTTTTATCAGGACTTTGCGGAATAAACAAAAAACTATAAGATCTGAAGTGACATTACTATTTAAATTTAATACATTTTCAATGGGATCTATGACTTTGTTTTTGTTTCAAAACATGAGGATTGTTTTCTTGGTCTAGAAGAACAGGGAAAAAAATTTAGAACAATCAAGTGTACTCTGACTTTTCAATGTAAGGGGCTAGAATGTTTAAAATTTATTTTCAAGCGGAAGAGGTCATCTTGTAGCTTTGCGATTTGTTTCATTCATGAGGGTTTGAAGTGGATTTCGATGCAATCAAAGTAAAAAAAAAACAATAGGTCAATTATTTGATATACCAAGCAAAAGGGGACATGTTTTTTTAATGAGAAATGTTCAATTTTTTTTAAAAAAAATTTAAATCCAGCTTGGCCTCTTTTTTCTGGTTTGTAAGTTCACTGGTTGGCTAAGCGGTTTGGTGTGTCCACATCAGGATATATGTATGCTTTGGAGTTTGCAACCACACTATGCCAGAGTGTTGTAACTAAGATATTCTTAATTTAAAAACGCATTCATGCACACACACTAATAAAGTTCAATACTCTATGGAGGTCGAGAGTCTATCTCTTAGGACCTCGGCCATGAAACATGGCCTGGTAGTCCCTGGGGACTCCGGCCATGCAACACGGTCTCGAGTAAAATGGTGTTCTGGGCATTGCTTCCACTCACCAGGGGACAGCTTTGCGTCACCGCCCCCGGTGCCCAGTGAGTCATGCGGTCTGGACGTTGGGTTGGAATGGTTTTGCTTCCTCTCCGGGGATGGCATTGCGTTGCCTCCCCCACCGCCCAGGGAGCCGTACGTTCCTTGGTGTGGCACGGCTTTACCTCCACTCCGGGAGTAGTCACAAGCTTAACTTTCTCCCACCATTCCTGGGAGTTGTGTGGACGTGGGTCTGAACGGCTTTGCTTCCTCTCCGGGGAGGTGTTGCATTACCTCACCCCACCGTTCGGGGAGTGGTTCTGACGGGACTGTGTCGGGACGAAACGGTCGCCTAGGAGCGGTTTTCTCAGGGCCGCATGTTTTTAACCCTCGGCAAGGGTTTTTTAAGAAACCCAAGCCTCATATCCATTATTGGCGACACGTAATCATGTTAGCGCACAACTCCAGTTGCGTGTGAAGTCATGCGTTTGCTTGGATCTTTTGGCTTCAGGAGTCACCTCCCTACTAGTCTTCCACACCACGCAGAGGTAAGATCCGTGTGACACCGCAGAGAGCATGGCGATGTGAGTTTTCTCCCATTTGAGCGCTAGCTATCCTGAGGGAAACTTCGAAGCACACACACTAAATTACCCTATTTTTCTTTTGTTTGTTTAGGTTATCAGAGTGGTGGCAGGTCTGGTTGCCAGGGGAGACAAGTTCGGTCCACAAGCACTTGCTGTAAGCTCATGTAGTAGAAGGGTGGCGTTTGTTGACCCTACAGAACTCACTGTTACAGTGGCGGATGCAAAATGCCTTGATGAGGTAAGTCTTCGCATGGGACTTGTAACTGTGGGAATTGTTGCTGTGGGAACAGAGATTATTTCCTATAAACTAAAATATTATGCACCAAACGCACTTGCTGTATTTTTAGGAATCTCATTTATTGAAGTTGTTGTGAATTTTATTGCACTTTTTGTGAATTATGTACTTTGATATATCAATGACAAAAGCTAAGCATTTCTTATTCCATGATCCTTGGAGCTAAAAATCATTTTATTTTGCCTCAGCTCATCAGGATAGATGTGTCCAACATGAGTGCTGGCTCTACTGTCATGGATGCAGCTGAGAGGGTCACCTTCTCCCCCTCCAGGGTCGGCCACATGCTTGTGACAACAGCAAACAACAAGCTCATCAAGTACGAGGCCAGAACTGGCCGCTTGTTGCAGGAGGTAAATTTAGTGTAGCAAGCCAGAGCCGTTGATCAACAATCATGCAAACCTTTACCAGGGTCAAGGGTGGTCTGCTGGTTGGCTGTTGTGTAACAATCTACAATCTTAGTCAGGGATAATGGTGGGCTGTTATACAACAATCTGTTATCTTAGTCAATGATGATAGTGGGCTGTTATACAACAATCTGTTATCTTAGTCAATGATGATAGTGGGCTGTTATACAACAATCTGTTATCTTAGTCAGGGATGATAGTGGGCTGTTATACAACAATATCTTAGTCAATGATGATAGTGGGCTGTTATACAACAATCTGTTATCTTAGTCAATGATGATAGTGGGCTGTTATACAACAATCTGTTATCTTAGTCAGGGATGATAGTGGGCTGTTATACAACAATCTGTTATCTTAGTCAATGATGATAGTGGGCTGTTATACAACAATCTGTTATCTTAGTCAATGATGATAGTGGGCTGTTAGTTGGTTGAGTCTTTTGCCATGAAGTAAAAATGTGTTGATGTAATGTAGAAAACCCAAACTTTTTGTCTGTCAGGTTGATCACATCCACAGAGCTGGCTGTAGTGCTGTGACTGTATCTGACTGTGGTCAATATCTGGCCACAGGAGGGGACAGGACCATCAAAATTTGGAGTTATGATCTCAACTTAGACATTAATTTTCAAGTAAGCGAAGAAGATACTGAAATATTTTTAGCCAACAGCTAATAACTATGAGACTAATAACTCGAGCCTTACATAAACCATGTTTGAGATGGCTTAATGTGACATCTCAAAACTGTAATGTGTAACCAAAGCTCTGAGCTCATCATATTTCTGTATGACTTTTGGGTGGCTTGATGTCATGTTCTGATCCGTGCCCTCAGGTGTTTATAGGACACAGTGAGAATGTCAGTAAGATACACTTCACCCCTGACGGCCTCAACCTCATCAGCTCTGGGGAAGCCATTTACTTCTGGGATTTCCTGGTCAAAAGGCCACCCACCCCTCCCGTGTAAGTTCTACCATTAAATTTTAGTATGGTTTGTTTGCTTTTTTGTTTTGATTTTATCGATTAACTGTACAAAATTAATGATGGAATGGTTTTTCATGTGATGTATGAATGGGGGTGAGAAACTGGATCGGGTTCTTAAAGTAAAGTTTGTTTAGAGAGGGGTTGGGGTTACAACTGATATTATCACTCAAATGTTCAAAATTTGGATGCAACTATGTACGCTCGTTTTACTTAATGGTGTGAGTTCTGTTTTACCAGTTGTATGGTTTTCTTAATGGTATAAGTTCTATTTTACCAGTTGTATGGTTTTCTTAATGGTGTGAGTTCTGTTTTACCAGCTGTACGGTTTTACTTAATGGTGTGAGTTCTGTTTTACCAGTTGCATTGTTTTACTTAATTGTGTGAGTTCTGTTTTACCAGTTGTACGGTTTTACTTAATGGTGTGAGTTCTGTTTTACCCGTTGAATGGTTTTCTTAATGCTGTGAGTTCTATTTTACCAGTTGTATGGTTTTCTAAATGCTGTGAGTTCTATTTTACCATTTGTATAGTTTTCTTAATGGTGTGAGCTCTATTTTACCAGTTGTATGGTTTTCTTAATGATGTGAGTTCTATTTTACCAGTTGTATGGTTTTCTTAATGATGTGAGTTCTATTTTACCAGTTGTATGGTTTTCTAAATGCTGTGAGTTCTATTTTACCATTTGTATAGTTTTCTTAATGGTGTGAGCTCTATTTTACCAGTTGTATGGTTTTCTAAATGCTGTGAGTTCTATTTTACCATTTGTATAGTTTTCTTAATGGTGTGAGCTCTATTTTACCAGTTGTATGGTTTTCTAAATGCTGTGAGTTCTATTTTACCATTTGTATAGTTTTCTTAATGGTGTGAGCTCTATTTTACCAGTTTTATTGTTTTACTTAATGATGTGAGTTCTATTTTACCAGTTTTATTGTTTTACTTAATGGTGTGTGCTCTTTTTACCAGCCATGCAGTTTTCTTAACCACCCTACCTTGCAGTTAGTTGTTTTTTTTATGACCAACCTTACATTTGATATTTGATTTGATCCCAACAGTGAAGGACGTATGTCGGCCAATGACCTAGGTAAGCCAGGTTTTGTTTTGTCGTTAAATCTTATGATTGTAGTTTGACTTGCCTCTATCATTCTTGCACCGTCTCTAATAATAGCATAGTTATTTCATGACTTATTTGTGGGTGTATAATATTACGAGTAAATAGCTCTGATTGGAAATACACCAAGCACACTCACTGATGGAGACACGTTGATTCTACAGATGAGGTTTTATCATGTGCCGAGACGATGAGCATCCCCGATGACATCTCCCAGCCCCCACAGCGTCAGCCATGTTTTCCCAGGCCCAAAACCACCAAAACCATCTCCCCACGCTCTGATGAGATTGATGTTGACAACATAAGTTCAATCGACCCGGCAAGTGGTGAGCCTGGTAGCATCCATAATCTTGTAGTTCACAAATCAAGGATATTTTATTATGATCCTTTTTTTAATTGAGTTGTCCTTGTTTCAAAAGATTTTACTAGACTCTGACAAATTTAAATTTAATGCCATATTGATGATACTTGGGTGTTTGTGGGCAGACTTCGTTTAAAATATCCCGTCATTCACTGCTTCAGGTGGCTTGAGTTTGAGGCCACACCCTTCTTAGCATATGACTTCAAAGCGTGATTAAAAACCTTTTCTAGCTATTAACATAATATATGATTCGTGGTTCAGTTTCCTCACTCCCATCCAATAAATATAGTTTCAGTTGGATAGGCAGAGTACATTTGATGTTCTAATTTTTTTTTTTCCTGTTATTCCAGACCAAGAAGACAATCCTCAGGTTTTGAAACAAAAACAAAGTTATAGATCCCGTGAATTTCCCAAAGCCTTCAAATTATCTAGCAGTGTACAAAATACCAGCGTGAAAGATCATTCCCAGCAGATAGCCAATGGCCTGAGGGACGGCCTCCATTTTAACGCCAATGGCTCAAGGGACGGTCAACATTTAAATGGTGGTGCTGATTTCCATGCCTGGTCACAACCAGTTGGTAACCAAGCATTACCAGATCCACCCAAGAGGGGATTAACCATAAAGAGATCAGATAACCCAGTCAGCTCTGAAACAGCTGATCCATCAGTATTTGTTCACTACAAACAAAGGCAAAAACTTGATCGATTAGCACAGGTTTGTTAATATACAGATTCTTTAATTTTTATTAGAGAATATAGCGTTACTGTCCTGTTAGCTATATTACATTTTAAATTAGCAAACACATTTGTCCAAGCCTTATTTACATATATTACAATTTTTTTTGCATAAAACTTCACATTTTTCATTATGAAATAAATGAGGCTGTTAAAGCGCATACCGTAAATATGTGGCTGTTAAATCTGTCATCTGAAATAAGACCGTGTTGTCTTGTTAAACTTATTAATAATCTATGGTCCGATTTTCTTTCAATGTAAATTGACACTTTTTGTCAATGTATTCTGTAAATTCAATAGAGGAGGTACATAGCTCCACCGAACCAGGCCGGCCTCAAGCTCAAGTCTGTGATTGGCTTCAACAGCAATGGTCGAAATAACATGGTGTGGCACCCAGACACAGGTGAGCACTTAAAAGAGCATTCATTTGTATATGTCATTGTGAGATTGGCCTACATGGCCAATGATGATCGGTGAGATTGGCCTACATGGCCAATGATGATCGGTGCTAGCCACAAAGGTAGACGTGTCATCAGTTTGTCCCTAATCTGATCAGATGTTTTTATGGTTTGCTCTCTTCTCAATGGAGTCATATTTGTTTCTGATGGGCAACACTTGTTAGTTGAAGAAATGTGAAGGGTTCAGTGTTCCAATCACATCAGCTTTTTCACTGTCTTATGTATATTTAATGTTTGTTAATTTTTGGTTTGGGGATAAACTGGGAAATGTTTAACATATAGCGGACCTGAGCGGGTATCAAACAAGCAAATGACTTGATACCCTAGGGATGGGCTTCCAATTTTGAAACTTTGAAATTGCTGCGAAAAATTTTTTTATGTTAATGCCCCTCACATATTTGAATAGGTACCTTTAAGTTTATTGCGCCTTAATGTTTCATCATTATTGTACAGGAGTTATCTTTCATTTTCTGTTATAGTGTTTAGTTTTAGAAATAAATATTCCATTTCAGGTTTCTTTGCATACACATCTGGCTGTGTCATAGTGATTGAAGACCTTAACTCTGGAGAGCAATCCTATTTGTTTGGTGAGTAGTTACAATGTCTTACAGAAGTTTACTGTTGTGAATGGCAGCCCTGTGCAACCATATTTTTATTTTCTAAAACCTGGCTATTTCATGCATAATTCCTATCTTAATTTACTAAGCCTCTTTGTGACTATTGCATTTTTTTTTCTGAGTCATTTATTAAAAGTGATGAGATTTTAAATAGTCCTGAAGAAAACCTTTTTGATTTAGAAATAGCTATTTTTAGATTTTAAGATATCACTATCATACTTTGACCAAAAAGGTTTCCGACCCCTGACCTAGGAGATGGTAAAACTCAAGTGTTATGGCATGTGTGTAGGCCTATTTTTAGCCACCACCACTTGTTCCCCCCCTTTTTCCCCCTTTGTTTTGCCTTAATATTGACCAGGCCTGCACAACATACGGCCCGGCAGCTTGCAGCACCCACTTTGCGTCGGCACAAGTTTTACATAAAGTATTATGGCCCCCCTTACATTTTGAGTGGTGCAGGCCTGATATTGACAAGTTCATTTTTTGCCACTCCTTACCCACCCCTTCCTTGATTAAGAAAAGGTTGTTTACTTTCAAATTCATTCTGTTTGTTCTAAAGAATGCTATCAGATGACACAATTTCTAGAATTTTTTACTAGATGGCTCTAGACGGCAGCTTTCCTAGCGGAAGGAGATATTTTTGCTATATTTGCCTAACATATATGAGATTCTATATAATTGCAATATTTTACTCTTTATGTGTGTGTGTGTAAATTAATATTTGTATTTTTCTAGGCGTGTACATTTTCCCTTGCTGTGTTGTAAGTTAATACAGTTTTTTTGTTTCTGTATATTTGAATTTATATTTTTATAGAAATTTAATTGTATAATTAAATTGATTTCTGTTAGCATCACTAGCTTTCGTAACGTTTTTATTTTCATAATGCTTTTCTCAGTGCTTTGTTACGTATTGTTCATTCTATGAGCCAAGTTTAAAACGGATTAAATTTTCAAAACCCTAACGGTACAAAACATTCAGTATCACTGATGCAAATCAATGTAAATTATTCATTGTTACGACGTAGCTACTTGGGCTTCTCCAGGCTGCAAGGTCTAAGGCTAGATACCTGAGACAGCTAGTTTAGGTCTGTTCAACAGGCAAGATACCTGGGACTGCTTGCTAAGCTGTGTTCAACAGGCCAGATACCTGCAACTGCTTGCTAACCTGTGTTCAACAGGCCAGATACCTGCGACTGCTTGTTAACCAGTTTTCAACAGGTCAAATACCTGCGACTGCTTGCTAACCTGTGTTCAACAGGCCATATACCTGAGACTGCTTGCTAACCTGTGTTCAACAGGCCAGATACCTGCAACTGCTTGCTAAGCTGTATTCAACAGGCCAGATACCTGCGACTGCTTGTTAACCTGTGTTCAACAGTTGTATTCTGTGATGAGTGAAATATCTTAAACAAAGTTTAACATTGTTATTTCTTATCCTTGCAGGCCACACAGAAGAAATCTCTTGCCTAGCTCTGCAGCATGATAGCTTGGTAAGGTTTCATACTCAATGCTTTAGTTCATCTGATCGAAGTTTATCTCTTAAAATCAACTTGGGCAGTGGAAGGTCACCATGAAATATTGCATCATTTTCAGGTGCAAATATGTAACTCAAGTGATTTTAATTACTTGTTTTATTTGTTTTTAACTTGACCCTTAAACTTGAAGGAAAAAGAAATCACCATTTTGTAGAATTTTTGAAAAATCGGATTCGGCAAAAGCTCTGAGATTCAAAAAAAGTTTGGGAACCACTGAATTAGGCCATTGGTGGGTTTATTTGCAAGATTTAACCACAATGCTGACATGGTTGTTTTTTTAGAAACAGAAAAAACACTAATTCTTCAAAAACAGCTTTTACTGTTAATGTCTGTTGTAAATCCAAATTGAAGCATATCTTTGCTTATGTATGAATCCATGCATGATTTCTTCTGTTTACTATTGGTATTTAGAAATCCAAAGGTTTTATACAAATGTAAGCAATAAAGACACAAAATCACAAAAATGTACTATTAAGGTTTTTAAAAAAAATTCTTTATATAATTACTTCGCTTTTGTTCCTGTGTTTCCGGCTGGCAAAATCTTTGGATGGCTAATTGGCCCACTTTACATCAACCTATTGAGCTAAACTTGGCACATAGACTCGTTGCCTAAGACAACGCATTCTATCATATTTTGAGCCCGAACCCCCCAAAAATAAAAATAAAATTTCCGTGTTTTTCAAGGGAAAATGAAGGAGATATAACACAGATGTCACGAAATAAAAATTCCCAATAATAGCAAAATGAGATTCTTTTTTTTTTAAAATATGGCAAGTGCTTTTATGCGTAATGTTTGTTTTGTTTTACTGAAATAGTTGGTGAAATACATCTGTGGTGTAAAAGCAGGTGGGTCAGTAGACTATTAATATAGTTCAGGGGCATTTTAAAAAAAATGTCAGTAATTGTATGTAAGTTTTGTCAAATTTTCTAGGAAAAACTTTGTTTTTAGGGGTTGTTTAATTTTCAAGGAAGTAAATTTCTTTTCGTCATGTGTCTTCAGTGTCTAGTGTCTGCCAGCCCAGCCTTCAGAGACTCCCTTTGTCAGATTTGTGTTTGGGATACACAGACAAAGGTGTGTACGAAAACACTGCTGCATCACAAGTTTGGCATTCAGTGCCTGGCTTTCTCTCGTGACGACAGGTTTCTGGTCTCTGTGGGTAAGTCTTAGAGCTGTAATATAACAAAGTTTCCTTGCACGTAACTCAAGGGAATTTAATTCTTTTGATTTGCGAGTTTATATTAAGTTCTTAAAGTAAATTAGAAATACAGGGAAGCAACCCTTGCAAATTGTAGTGTCGATCCATACTTATTACTTCCCTTGCATTTTTATTTTTAAAAATGAATTCATTGTAAGCATCTGTTAATATTTAACTATATTTCTTATGCACTACCAATAAATATTTAGGAAATAATAAAAGCTTTTTATTTTCTATAAGGTCTAGATCTATACAAATTATTTTTTTTTAAAACTTTTTTTAAATTTTCCTAATTTGATACTTGTTAAAATTATTATTTTAAAAAATGTTTTTTTTAAATCAGGAGATTACAGAGAAAATAGTGTTGTTGTATGGAGTATAGAAAACCTTGAACTGGTTACAAAAAGTATGGCAGCATCTGCTATCCACTCCGTCAAATGGGACCCATTTACAGTCAATGAATTTGTGACAGTTGGAGAAGATGGCACTGTCCTGTTCTGGTTGTTGGATGAGACCGCCTCTGATGTTTGCCTCAATGTGTATGAAGCTGAGCTGCCTGGGGATTTGGTTAATCCTGATAGAAAAGTAAAAGTCACTTGTTAATCTATCAAACATGAAATAGGGCTGCTTAGCACCTGCACCAGTGAGTTAGTAAATATCTCTCTCTCTTTCTTTATTTTACTGGTGGCTAGAAACAACTCTCTCCGCCTTTTTCTTTCTCTTTGTCTTTCTTTCTCTTTTTTTGTGAAGTCTCTTTCTTTTTCTCTCTCTCTATCTCTTTCTTTCTCTATCTTTCTCTTTCTTCCTTACAGTCACATCCAACATAGTAAATTTGAACTGTTAAAACTCTATTTCAGCAGTGCCATCCAATAGCCTTCACATCACAGGCCTATGCAGGAGACAGCACCATGTACATTGGCACAGACAGTGGCAGAGTGTCAGCATGGGACACAAGACACAACACTTGCTTCATGCACTGGGAAGCTGACACAGCAGAGATTAGTGAGTTGTCAGATACTAGAGCATTCAACTCAACAGTTTACTCTGCCTCCAAAGGAAAATCATTTGGACAATAACATTTCAATTTTTAATTCATGTTTACAGCTGTTTAAAACACAGTGTAAATTGTGCCAAATGTTGCTTTCAACATTATCGTGTTGACACAAATAACTCTATTGTCATGTTCAGTTTGTAAGATGAAATTTCCTTGTTAACTATTGTTGCACACATTGTCTCTGTAACTCGTAAGTCAGATATTTCTGAAAATGCATTTTTTGGGGTAAAATTTATTAATCCTTTTAGAAAGCAGAAATCTGTAAGAAAACACTTTGCCAGAATGAACAAGGCAACAAAAAAAAAAAGGACAGACAGTGACCGATCCCTAACTGATGACCTGAAGTCCAAAGAGGGAGCTCATTATGCAAGCATTTCTCTTTTCGAAGAAATCTTCACAAAGGTTGAGGCAAACAGAGCTCGGAAGAAGCTGAAATCTCAAAAAGTACCAGGCCCAAATAAAATCCATAACGGGATGCTGGTAAATTTGGGCCCTTCAGGGAAAAACCTTACTGGATCCTATAAACAGCACTTGGTGTGGAAGCCCAATCCCTAAAATCTAGTAAAATGCCATCATAACGCAAATATTTTTTTAAAAAAAAGGCTCCATGACTTCCTCCATTGGAAAACTTGCTGAAAGAATGATCAACAATGGCCTCTATTGGTGGCTAGAAACAGCTGACCGCCTCAATAAACACCAAGCTTGCTTCAGAGCTGGACAGCACACTGGTAATCAACTCTTCCCCATGAGCCAAAAGACCTTAAATGGCTTCCCAAGACAAAACACCACAGCATTCTTTGTCGACCTCCAGCTGGCCTGTGATAGAGTGTGGCAGAAGCTGGCCTGTGATAGAGTGTGGCAGAAGCTGGCCTGTGATAGAGTGTGGCAGAAGCTGGCCTGTGATAGAGTGTGGCAGAAGCTGGCCTGTGATAGAGTGTGGCAGAAGGGTTAACTCTGAAAATTAAACTGTGCAGGGCAGAGATTCTTGGCAAGCTGTACAAATGGTTAAATGTTTTTCTCTCTCACTGAAATCGAAATAAAAATAATTAATGCCACCTCATCAAAATCTATCCTGGAAGAAGTACTCCTACAAGGTGCGTCACTGATTTTCACCTTATTTTTAATGTTTATTAATGACCTTCCAGACGAACTACAGGTACAGAAGGCACTCTAAGCAGGGGACCTTGTGATCAGAAGGCACTCTAAGCAGGTGACCTTGTGATGTGGCATACATGATGAACATACACAGGCAAAAGTGCAAGACGTCTTAACAAAGACTTGATCAGGCTGGAAACAGAAAATAAACAGAAACAAGACAGCATTCTTAGTACTCTCTGTCCTCACTAAAAGCCACAAGGTAGCCCAACAGAACATTACACTATCTAGAGTGTGTACATTTTTCACCTGGGCCACAGGCTGAAGGGCACATGTGCAAACGGCCACTGTATCTGAATGATGATGATGATGATACATTTGGAAAATACATTTTCTGCCACATGTCTTAACTTGTTAAAACTTTCTATTTTTAAGTCATAATGTTTTTAATGTCTTCTGTAGAATTTGGAAAAACCTGAGTTTAAGAGTGTTATTGTTATGGCAGCCATGCATGACTTGGTGCAACTCAGTAATTTAAATGTCATCATCAGCTTGCCTTTCGCTATAATGTGTTTAATTCACAAGTGTTTTTGTGAACACATTGTGTCATCTTCTATTTTATTTCATATTTGTGAACATTTTTGTCACAGCCAAGCTGGTGTCCCGACACAGCAGATTAATGACTGCCTCCTGCAGTAAGACTCTGAGACTGTGGTCAGTCGGGAGGGTCAGAGACATGAAGATGACCCAATCGTTGCAGAAGGCATCTCTGGGTGTCACTATGGAGGATGAGATGAGCCTCGACGGTGCCATAACTTGTGCCGAATTCGATGACACGCTAGATATGGTAACTTATTTTAACTATATACTTAAACATTTTACAGTTATCATATATTTCCCTAAGCATTTCCTGTTATTGTTTCTGAAATTTGTTTATAACCTAAATCGTTACTTGTTTTCTAAATAAAGTTTTAAAATTATTGTAATAAATATTTGAAAAGTTATTTAGACTAACATTTCCTTTGCATATTAAGGGTTATTGATAATGGGCCTGTTAAGCTCATCTGAATTGGGAATAAAAGCTTTAAAACAATTTAATCCTTTAAGAGTATTTGTTTTTGAAAATAACCCAAAATAATGGCTTTCCAATGAGAATCTTGGGGATTGGTTGATGTTATAATGTTTTGGCTTGTTTCGGTTGAGTCATGCCGTTAAAATTCATCCCATTTAATTTTTAGGGCATAGTAGGCACTGATGCTGGCACTCTCTGGTACATCAACTGGTCAGAAAGAACTTCTATACGTCTTGTATCTGGGCACAAAAATAAGGTAATTTCAGCCGCTTTTAAATAATTTTTTTTTTTTAAATCTTTTGTGTGATATTTCTGTACAAAGCATTGAAACTCCAATGTTTTGATGTCTAATATTAAATTTAGTTTGAGCTAACTCTGACATATGACACTGTGGAACATACAGAAGTAACTTTATGTAGCACATCTATTGATAATGACTAGACAAAATGTGTAACTGATGACTTACTAACAGATCAATGGCGTGGCATTCACCATGAACAACCTGCTGATGTCTGGAGGGGATGACGGCAGTGTTAGGGTGTGGTCCCTCAAGAACAGGGAACAAGCATTACAGTTTCAAGTCTTAGACCAGGTCAGACCCTTTGCTTCATTTAATCTTTTTTTTGATTTTATACAATTAACATAACACTGCTTTATAAAGAAAAGCTGCCTACTGAAAGCTGTAGCATTATTTGTTAAATCATCTAAAAATAGCTTGCAGACAGTATTTTCTCATGTGATCTCAGGCATGCACATGCCTGGCAGCAGGGCCAAGTGGTAGGAAACAGAGTCTTGTTCCCCTGGTTGCCAGTGGCTACAGTGATGGGACTGTCCGAATATTCGACATCAACAAGGTTGAAATGCTGCTAAAGATGCGTCCACATTCTGTCACAGTTACAGCCATTGCTTTCTCTGCAGACGGTAAGTGATAAGAAACCTTTGGAAGGCAGTAATTTAGCTGATTTGACATGGTGAATCCTTTACAGTGTTCAGTTTTATACATCTCAACGTTTAAATTATAAAATACATTTTAAAAATATTACTTCAATATTAAACTGGTATCAAGCAGAGGATAAATTATTCCTGTATTTATATTTTCCTTCGATCAGAATATTCTTTTTCAAAAATAAAATTCCAGGGTTAATGATATTGTCTGGTAGCAGTGACGGACTTTTAGCTGTGAGCAGTCCTACAAATGGTATGACGGTCCGTGTGATTAATGACCACAGGGGTGTGGCGATTTCAAACATTGATGTCACCTTCACTAAGGTAAACATTCTTTTGATGACACAATTAGGCAAGAGATATAAAGCAGATCAATTAGAGTTGTACGTGCCATGGTGTTGTTGTAATTATGTTGTCTGTGTGTTCAAGGTCAATGGTGGACAGGCTTAAAGTACATTTATAATCAAAATAACTTATGGATTTTGCTCTGTGTTGTAGTTATTTATATACTTCACTAAACAGGATGTAGATGTGGGAGTTACTGCCCCTACGTTATGGCTGGCCAGCAGCATGGATAGAAGAGCAAGTGTCTGGTCGGCTGACTGGTCCAAAGATTTTTGTGAGCTCGTTGATTGGTTGACATTCCCAGCTCCGGCTTTCATGCCAGATGGTTCAAGGATAAACCGCCATGATCATGTAAACCTTTGACATTTAATTTTTTTTTTGTTATGTGTGTTGTGTATTTTTGAGACATATATTTGTAAGTAAGTTATTCAACTTATAAGGAAGAAAAAAAACAATGCAGTGTGCCAGAGAGAAACAATAAGTAATAGTGCTTTTTGATTTCTTTGCTTCAAGACATCAAGTAAATTTGTAAATTTTTCACTGTGATCTTCAGAACCACTTTAACCTGCTTCCCCCCACACTGGCAAGGTTCTCACCTGATGAAGCAGATATAATAGTGTACACAGGGTACGGCATGGACAAGTCTGTACACTTCTACAGCCTGACTCAGAGAAAGGTAGGTTTCTCTTTATGTTCAGTCAACTTTCAGTACATTTGAGTCAATTTTTTAACTTTATATGCAGTTAGAGAACAAATTTTAGTGTTAAATGGTTTTCACTTTATTTATGTTTAATAGTAGCTTATGATTTTTTATTTTTTTTTACATTTGAATGATCACATTGGTCCCAAGATTTTTGTGAACTTTCTGGATTAGTCAACAAAATACCAATAAAATAATTACAGCTTTTTAAGAGGCAGAGACAGTTAAATTGTTAAGTTATCACTAAAAGTTATTGTTATCTATTTATAAGATATCCTTACATAGCTCATATAATCTGTTTGTAAGATATCCTTAAATTTTTTTTAAGTAATCTGTTTATGAGATATACTTACATAGTTAAAGTAAGCTGTTTTTTTTGTAAGATATCCTTACAAAGATAAAGTAATCTGTTTGTAACATATTCTTAAATTGTTAAAGAAATCTGAAAGATATCCTTATAGTGTTAAAGTAATCCTCTCTGTCCTGTCACAGATTGTAAGGACAGTTAACCTGACTCACTGGAGCTTGTGTATGGATGTGTCACCTGACTCAAGTCTAATTGCTGTTGGAATCTCTGGTAAGATTTCATTGGTGGGACCCGAGGTTTTTGTTGTTTTTTTTATCAATACTGTGACAATAAAATCTGGCCACAACAGCTTGTCAAATTGTTATAGATGTGCTGATCTTCAAGGCAGCGGCATGGCAGAAGTTAGAGTTCATGATGCTCAACCTCACTCCCCTCCCCCGACATTCATTCATACTCACACACAAAATGCCATACTATCAAAGACAGACCACAGGCAGATCCATGATGGCCATTGAGGCTTATCCCTCTTCCCAATGGTTTAGATTATAAACTTCGTTTGGATAGTAACAGATATTTTAACAAACTGCTGTCCCAAGCTTGATTCTTACACAAATATGGTGAATCTCTGCTACTTTAGGTTAGTTCAACAATCGGTTGCATGGAGTAATGAAATTGTGACTGATGTAGTATATCTTACTACAATTCAGGCCGAAAATTGTTTGTAAGTTATGCCCACGGCTCTACCTTACCCTACTCTTTACTGCCTGCAAGTATAAATAAACGTAGTGCTAGAATTAACCAGTTAAAATGTCAGAAATAATCACAGTCCAACCTTCCTCTCATTATTTGTCAATGTTTGTTTTGTTCCAGAACGCCTGCTAAAATTGATGGACTATAATGAAGGGAGCTTCCAGGATTTCACTGGCCATAGTGATGGAGTCAGTCTCACTAAGTTTTCCCCCAGTGGCTCCATGCTGCTTACTGTGTCTCATAACGAGATGTTTATCTGGGAGGTGACACTCTGACCTTTGAACTGACCATTAAAGTCAGTTACCTAAGAATTGTGAAATCAGTTGTTTAACTAGGAGGTGACTTTTTCAACTATCCCTTGTTGGAGAATTCGTTACTTATCCACCTTGAAGACACTAAACAATGGAGTAAACTCTGCTAATATTGTACAGCTCTGATGACACTTCTATATAGTAATTAGCCCAATCTTGCATTTTACAGAGACTTTTAAACTTTCTCAGCATCCAGTTGTGTCAGTAGCACAACATGCAGACTAGCAACAATATCCTAACATAAACCTAAGACTTTTTCTAATATAACTACGTATTCTTTGATGCCATTTCTACAATCTTCTCTGTATCTATTTCAAAGTAAAATATATTTAAATTTCATGAATTCATGTATAGTTTTTTTTTGTTTATGTTTTACTGTTAATTAAGTCCTATTAGCAAACTTCCTATAGTTTTATGAACCACTTCCAACAACTTGTTGTCGTGGGTGTTTTTGTAGATATTTTCTATGACATTTAAGAACCTTTGATGTAGGCAATATTTCCAGTCATATCTCTATTTTTGCATCCGTCCATTTCTTAAACATGTAAATCTATGATACAGTGAGGTGCTGTCTCTTCTCTATGATATTATAAATTGACAAGAGGCAGTTGGATGAAAGAATATCTGTCAAAGATGCACTCTTTATGTGAGATAGCCTGATGAAAGAATGTCTGTTGGAGTAAGTGATTCACTTCATATGTGCAAAACAGAATAGATCTGATTCCTTTTGAATGTTATTTATAATGTGACTGTACTGTAAATAAACATTTGTGTCTATCATAAAACTTGTTCATATTTTGTTCTTGTTTGCTCAGTGTGTACTCATTGTGTACTTCAGTGGGTGCATTTGTGTCAGATGTATAGATGTTATCTGAAAGTCTTGAGTTACCAAAACTCCAAAGTTGGAAGAATATAAGAGTTTAATGAGAAGGTACAAAAATGTGTACAAAGTTATACAAACTAAAGTCAAAGTAAATTTTTTTTTTATTAATTGACATACAGTTACACATAAACGCATTATCATAAGAAAGAAGAAACCTTGATCACATAAAACAAAACATTTTTAATTTATTAGAGAATCAAAAAGGGAAAAAAAGTTTGACAAATGCATGATAGTTTTTAATAATTTCTAAAATAGTTGTGAATAATGTAAACAAACGTTTGATTGATTCATACAAGGTTTTGATGAGTCAAAATGGACCATAAGGAGTTAAGTTATTTGCAGGCAATGTTTGAGATATTGATTATTTTGATTGGTTTAAAAAATGTACATTGACCTTTAAAAAAACTTCAAAATTTTATCAACACATATTTTTAAAATATTGTTTTTAATTAAAAAAATACAAAATATATAAATTTTTTTAAAGGAGATATTTGTACATACAAAAGACAGTTTAAAAGTTCTTTGTGAATAAATGTATGATGGTAGTTCAGAATAAGAAGTTATTTTGGGCCTTAATTTTGACATTGTTGAAAAAACAGAACATTTTCTATAATGAAATTACTATGTATATTTAGAATTTTAAAAAAGAACAAAGAATGAATTACATAAGATGTTAGTAAATTAAATTTTAAAGTAATTGTACCATGTAAATTAATATATTTGAAGAAATGAACAGGATAAAAAATTCTTATTGTTTTATGACAATTGAAAATTCTAGATGTTTAAAATGCATGAACAGTTTATTGGGAAAATTACTAAATGGTCATTAAAACAATTTGATTTCAAACCTTATGTTCCAGTTTTCATAAACTCAACATTTATACCATTTAAAGTTCAAAGCTATTGATATGACATGAAAAACAAATATTTTTTTTATTGTTGAAAAAATAAACAACACACAATTCAATCCATTACAAGTGACCTATTTTTTACTATAAGAAAAATCAAAGTGTGTCAGCAGAGTATAAGAAACTTAATGTAGCAAAATTGTGATGGTAAGCTTACAATTTACAAAACAATTTAAAAATGATCAACCTGCAACATTACTAAAATTAGAATAATTATATCTTATCACAATATTTTGTTTAGCATATTAGCTTTAGTGTGACGTACAGTTTGTACTTCTTGTGTGAGTTTTGTGTTCGCCCCCCCCCCTCCCCCCTCTTCCATGATTGTCTTAATAGTATTTTTTTTAATGAACAAAGTACTTGTATTGGTATCACTTTTAAATGTTCAAAGATTACATTCATAATGTGGCAAACTGGCCCTAGATCAAACAAAAAAAATAACCCTGAAAAGAACTAAATCTAGATTTTTTCCATGGTCTTTGGATTTTAAAGGTTTTACGCTCTTGCCTGATAAAGGGAAGTCCATGTTGTCACTCCCATGCCTTACTTGTAACTTGTGAGTCTAGATGTAAATAGAAATACACATAAACAATCTCATGAAATTCTTTCAATACAGTGTTATGTTGAGTAACAAATAACTTCCTTTTAAAAAAAAACAACTTGTGTTAGCATTAGCACACTTTTCAAAAACTTGTAAACCACAGTTATCTAATCTGAAAGGTGAATACAAGGTTCGCGTCAACTGAAAAATCAATTTTTAAGTCACCTTGTTACTGGTCATTAATTTTAGAGACTTGTTCAGTCACATACTGGCTTTACAATTTTACAACTATTTGTTTTGGAAAGCAATAGATGGCCAAGCACATAATCAGAAAACCAAACTTGAATATACCAGCCTGCTCCACCAGCGGTTATGAAATCTAAATGATCAATTATTAAGTCATTGTCACTAGAGTAGTTGATTGATGGCTGATGTCTATGCTAGAGAATACCTTAGATGTCTTGTGTTTAAATTGTTATAATTGTAAAATTTTGTCTTGTTTAAAAATGAATATGTACAATTTAATCTAAAAACATTTCCATCTTTTTTTATCAATAAAAGAATGTTATCTTAAACCAGAAGATCAAACATGTTACCAGAAGATCCAACATGTCATCAGAAGATCAAACATGTTACCAGAAGATGAAACATGTTACCAGAAGATCAAACATATTACCAGAAGATCAAACATGTTACCAGAAGATCAAACATGTTACCAGAAGATCAAACATGTAACCTGAAGATCAAACATGTTACCAGAAGAGGTACCAGGAGAGTTGAAAAACAACCAAAAATCTGTCAGATTGTAGCTTTGTTGCTCCTCCTGATCAATGATCAGCAAAACTTTCAATAGTTTGTGTTAATTAACATTCTATGGTTAAAACTTTATTGAATCTTTTGAGTTCATTTCACATATTTCATTTTTGCTTGTTGATGAAAGCATTTTTACTTTTATTGATAAAGTTCTGAGGAACTTCACCTCTGTATGTTTCAGACAAAAATGCAATAAAAATATTGTACTCACTGGGCCGGGCCAGAGTTCAAATACAGGTCATCCTCAACTGGACTCTCCCCATTGCCGTTCGGTGCCAACCTGGCTGCTCCCTGCTGTGGTCTTTGAGGCGGGGCATTGAGATACAGGCCCTGATCTTCATCGTCATCTACAATAGACTCGGTGGGGGGCCTGGGAGGGGGATCCCGTCTCCGCGGTCGCTGAAGTCTTTTAGTGATCCTGTGCTCGGCTGTGCCATATGAACGTTTATGAGAAGCTAGAGGTTTAACAACATATGGGGCAGCACGGTCTGGAACGTTCACCAGCTAAGATTTAAAATATAAAAATACATTTTGAGAAACAACGTTTTTAAATTATCAATATTATTTTAGGACAACGAAAATGATATAGCACCTACAATTTGAATGACACATTATCATTTTTTTTTTAAATATTACATATATCAAACACTACAGTTCATATATTTTAATCATTTGAAATGTATAAACCGTGTAAATGATGCATAAACCTTTTACCAAATAAATACAAATCATAAAGTCATTTGATTCACATATATGACTAATAGTCTACAAAAAATTAATCAGATAATTTTAGAAAGAGAAAAAAATATGAGTGCACCTCTACCGGCTTAAAGGTGTACATTTTTTGTTTTCTTTTTATGCTGTTATTGTACAAGTTTACTTCTCTGAGAGCCAGGTATCTATCCAATGTCTTAGAACTAGGAATTTATTCAATATCTAAGAACTAGGTATGTGGACCAAGATAACATACATTTGTACTGATTGGTGGAGCCACGTCATACAGTTCATCATCATCCATTGCACCATCCACATAATCTACACCCTGAACCGATGCACTAGTCTCACCATTATTAGCACCCCTGACTTTGCTTTTGTCCATTACTATTTGTTCATCTTCCTCTGTTGAAGGTTAAAACATATAAATATATTGCTTACTAAATTTTTTTATTCAAAATATTCGTCATGTTCACCAATAGATATTTTTAATTGCACTGGAAGCCTGTAAGTTAAAATGTCTTTGTTTACACAAATAATAAAAGTGAATTCCCATACATTTATGGACCCAAATAATAGTCATACATTGATTTATGTAATTAAACATCAAATTTTTTTTAAAATAGGCATATTCATATGCCATTGATTGATTGATATTACTTTTTTTAAAAATACTTGACCACTTACCTTCCACAATGATGCTCTCAGAGTCTTGCAGAACATCCACACCAAAGAATGTGGCTATTAAAGAGGGGCACAGCTTGTCCATCAGGAAAACAATAAATCCCAGAACCACACATATAATTCCTGGTAAATACAATAGAAATTGATGTCAGCATTTTAATCCATTTGAAAAAATAAAAATAGAGTAGATCCAAAGTTTAAAATTCTGTATTACATTTATCTAGCGAAACAAATAATAAAACACAGGCCTAATAGAAAACAGTAGTTGAAGGATTATTCTTGTGCGTACTTTTATCGTATTATTTAAGAATGCTAAAATAAAGTTATTTTTCATAAAATTGCCATATGCTGTAGTTTTTTTTTTTAATTCTGCAATGTTTAGCTTAAAGTTAAGTAGATATGACCTTATGTTGAGTTACAATTCTTAATTTTTATAATGACACATTAATTAACCTGCATAAGCATTTCATAAGCTCAAATTATTAACAAACCAAAAATATAGTAGTCCAATTGATTAATTAATATTCAACAATTGATTAGTCTTTATACTCATAGAGAATTTTTGTACTTTTATAATTTCTGTAGATTTGATGTTCTGTAAATGTCATGTTCAATAGATGGCATGTCCAGTAGATGACATGTCCATGTTCATTAGATGTCAATCATGTTAAGTCAATAAGATGTTAAGTCAATAAGATGCTCATTATATTTCATGTGATGCTCTACACATTTAGATTAATAACTTGCCTGTGATAAGACAGATCCAAAACGATCCACCATAACTAAATAACAAAACGTCATGAGAAGTGAATGGAATTTTCAAATCATTGACATTTCTTAGAGTGGCCCAGATGATATTAGAAGTTACCATGGACAGGCCAGTTAGGACTAGGAAGTAAGCTCCATACCGCAGCAGCACACTGAACAATATGTTGGCCAAGATCCAGAGAGGAAATGCCAGCCTAGATGTAGTCACAATAAAAACCATCAGTTTATTATAAATCTATTAAACAATTGTTCTGTATCTAGTAAAATATGGAGTTACTTTAATGTGTAAGAAATATCTTTTTTTACAAGAAGGCACAAATATTTAATCATATATATATGTTTATTTGTTAAAACAAATTAAGAAAAAATATTCTTTAGGTACCATTAGCTGGTCATGATGGCCACGGATTTGAAAAATATTGATATAAATAACTGATTACTTGCATTTAAGATTT